CTGCGTACGCGCGTCCGTTTTTTTGCCCGCAAACGCGGGTTCTGTGACCGTGGTAACGCCCTTTCTTCTCGTTGGTTTTTTCCCACACGTAGTACGTTCTGGAGTTCCTTTACACCGCGGTAAGTTGCAGCTCTCTCGCTAATCGTTCATTAATCCAAAAGAAAAAAAAGTTTTTTTTTTTATGAACTAAAAAAAAAAAAAAAAAATTGAAAAAAGTACCATCTATTTGCTCGTTTCGCTCGTAACATTCATCTTATATGTTTTTTCGTATGTCCCATTATATGTAATCTATCTATATATTTATACGTATGTTCATACCCTTAGCCTGCGTATCACGTCTCTCTTTTTTCTCTGTTTCCCTTGTTCAGTTATCATTTTTTGTCTATGTCTTTGTCTCTTTATATATATATATATCTTCGTTTGATCTTATTCTCGCTCATCCCATATGTATTTCTTCTGTTTTATTATCCCTAACCTATTTTCGATTCAGTTATGTTTGCCAATTATGTTTTGCCAATGTTTGATCATAACCTCGCTTATTCGACTCATATCTACATATTCCCGAGTCTTCTGTATTCCATTTTCAATCGCCTGTCTGTCGTCTTTTTTGAGTTTTCATTTTATCATTCTCTTATTTTTCTCGCTCAATCATTTCTTTTTCTCTTTTTTTTTTCTGTATTTGTCTATCTTGTCTATCTACCTGCGTATTGTTTGTCATTTTTGACCCGACGGCTACCGCTTATAGTTCGCGTGAAACAAATATACGATATCAATGATTCAACATCTTTAATTTTACCTTTGTGCGATGTGAGAAATATCATGTGTGTTTAATAATAATTTATTAAATTGAAATTTACATTAATTTAGCAATTGAATTTTAATTCTAATTGCATTTGTCTTACCTTTATACTAGAAATTATATTAGAACCTTACTCGATCGATAACAAAAAAAAAAAATCTATGTTATCTTTAGATAAGAAAAATTTAAACTTAAAATCAATCGAAATCGCGAACATATGGCTACAGCTAAAGGGTTATTACTCTCTTCACACCTACATTGAAAGTACAATCGTATCAAATTGTCTTTGTGTTATCTGTGATATGTCGTCGGATGATCGTTGTCTATAACCCTGCTCTTATCCGCCCTCTCTCTCTCTCTCTCTCTCTCTCTCTCTCTCTCTCTCTCTCTCTCTCTCTCTGTTCTGTTCCATTCCGTTCTTTCTCTATTGTTCTGTTTATGTATTGTCATCTTGTCCTGTTTAGCGCTGAGTTCTTAGCTATTATTACTACGATTATCCTGATATATAACGTAACCGGTCATAAACCAAGTAATAGTATGTTTGAGAATCGTGTCATTTTTTACGTAACAATATCCTGTCTGGTCTTGTGTTGTTTTTTGTGTTGCCAGGCTTGCACTTTTTTATGTACGTTGTGTATTTCATAAGCCCTTGTCGAATTTGTCTCTAGTGACTTTTTGCCCCCTAGCATCTTATACACGAACGCTGACTTTATTGCGCGCCTCTTGCGTCAAAAACATATATATTCTTGCGTTCCATTTTTTTGTTCAATTGTTCCTTTCCGTCGTTTGTCGATTATTAACCTAATAATATAAAATATACATCATCATATAACATTTATATTTATATGCATAATAGATATTTGTACACAAGCGGTGGAAAAGATCTAATAATCGTGGTATATAAAATAAAATCAAATGTAAAACGATGACGATGAAAATGAGAATGAGAAAAAAAAAACAAGTTATAATGTATTGTTCCGAATCGACGGATCGGCAATAATTACGAAATCGGAACCGTTCAATACACAGCTTTATGATACATGATACGATATGATACGAAGGACCTGAACGACCAATCCCTCCCTTGTCCCTTGTCTACGTCTGTTATCACCTGTCTACAATGTGCCAATAACCCCGTTACACCAAAGCCCTGTGTCTGTCTTTAACCGATCCGTGCTATCTAACCCACCGAAAGTTATAATCTCATAACAGAACACGACAGAAACCCTCTTTTGGAGAAAAATCGATTCGTCCTTATCCGTCCGTGGTTCATGCTAAAGCCAGTAATAATTTCTCATAAATCAGAAGACTGCAAAAGATTTCTTTTCAATTTAATATTGGTGGATTAATTCGTGAGTTAAATTTTTGAAAAGAGAAAGAAAATGAAAGAAAAAAAGAGAAAATGAAATCATTTCTGATTTAAATTGTTCATTCATTATTATATTCTTGAACAGGAAACGAACGAGTATCTAAAATAAATAATAAAGGAAAAAAAAGTTTTCCAAAATAATGAGAAGATGAAAAAAGAGAAGGCAGAAAAGAGGAAAGTCGTTTGATACGTTTGAATGTCGCGCGCGCGGGAGGAAAAGAAATATGGCGCGATAAAATATAAAATAAACATCGTATCGCTGACAGAGCAATAAGAATGAAAAAAATCCAAGTAAAGAGAGACAGAATTCGGCATTGCGTCGCTGTATCGCGCTGATCTTTCTGTCGCGAGACCGTCCATATTTTTATTTTTTTTTCTTTACTATTTTTCTTTGTTTTTCCGTTATTCAGTCTTGCATACGCGCTCGCCACCAGATGTCGGTGTGTTCGAGATTGATCTACATATATATATATATATATATATAGATAAAAAATATATATATATATCCATTTCTCTCTTCTTTTCGATTTATTTTTTCATCTCGATTCGAATTGTTTTACGTTTCCTTTTATATACGATTTACTATGATTTCAGATTCTTTTTTTCTTTGTTTTCTTTTTTTTTTTTTNTTTTTTTTTTTTTTTTTTTTTTTTTTTTTACCAGTAGTGACGACTGTGCCTGCCACCTTGCTATGCTCGTACTTGGAGGATCAGCACCCAGGTAATGTTTGATCCCCAAGTCGCCGAAGGAACGAGAACGGTGGCATGGTGCGCGTAGCCGGAATTATACACGGCTTTGATCGTTCTCCAGAACGACGACACGATCGTTTGTCCATTGGATATCGTCTGACTTTTAATTCTCATGGGGGAATATATGGATCCTCCAAGAACGAATCATGACCCCATATGCAATTCCTTAGGGACAAATGAATATATATATATATATATATATATATACAAATATCAAATGCATCTATGCAGCTTGTTGTATGTGTTCTACCATACTTTGATATTTGATATTTGCTAAAATGATAAAGGAAAAATGTTTTTTTATTATGTAAGAATAATTTGAAATATGTATTACAGATAACATAATCTGAATATTAACTTTCAATTATAACTTTGTTTCCTAATTTATTAGAATTTATTTTTCAATTAGGAAACTGACAAATATAGATATAAATATTTCAATATCTTTATGGCTTTATTCTATATATATAAAAAAAAAATCTTTTCAGATGTGGAAATTTTATTAGATATATGTTCGTTTCTTTATTTTCTTAATATTCTATAGATATAAGCAATATATTTTAAAAATAATTAAACACTGACGTTATCATATGATACACGATTTATATTTGTTATCGAATTTTCATACAGTATTCAGGGAATATTTTTTATACTGTTTCTCGACAGCTATGCTTTATAAATCTTGTTTGTTGCGAGTAAATTGAACATGTCAAATATTAAGTTAGGTTGGCACATGGAACGCCGCGAATTTTTGAATTCATTTCAACTTTTAAATTATAATTCATATTATTCAAATATAATTTTCAAAATAATATGTTTTCTCAATCTTTTATTTAAATTATTATTTTTCAACAAATAATAAGTATATATAAGAAGATAATTAAAAATCAATATTTTCATATACAATATCTTTATTTGCAAACATATAGTCCATTAAGCGGTATCTGATATAACAAGCTGCGTACATATGCTTGATACACGGCATATTTTCTATATATTATATTATTATTATCATCATCATCATTATTATTGTTATTATCTTACCTACCTACATCAATCTCATTATATTCAGCACTATACACAAATCGCTTAAAATATTCAGCTTCAACATATTCCAACTTTTATATATCGCAGATAATCCAAGCCCTAAAACTTATTACGTATAAATTTTTCATTGCCTTTATTAAGTATCTATTTATACATGATTATATATGCATGCAGTTCTATTTTCACGAAAATTTACCACCCACCTTTTATTTATTTATTATTATTATTACCTGCCTCAGGACGATCGTGTTCTTTTTTGCTCCCGAATTGACAATCTGCTCGATACTTTACAAAAAAATCAACTACCCACAATCAAGCCAAAAAAAATGAACAAAACCTTTAAAAGAATGCAACCATGAATAAATATCACGCAAATTGCAAGAAAGTGAATGTGACTGAAAGAAAATGTTCCGCGTCGTTGCCAATACGATACGCGACAACTAACCTAGTTGATCAAGAAACCGACTATGGCGACATCTGGCCCAGCGCGAACACATAGCGCCACGCATTATTTCGTTTGTAAAATCAATTTGTATCGCTTCTAGATACGACCAAAACCATTAACTACCTTTGTGCGAGTCAACGCGGCCGGTAAATGCCGACTCGAATGGAATTGCGGATTGTATTGGCAGCGATGTGAGAATATTGGATCGCATTGAACCGTTGACCGCGGAAGCTGATTTGATAGACAGAAACGATTGTTCACGCTCTCGAAGTTTGTATCTTACGATACATGAATTGTACGATTAAAATTTTACTAAATTCGACAATTTTCTTTTTATTTAATTAATTTTTTACTCATATAATTTTTATCATTATTTGAAAATTTTTAGAATTTGTCGATATGTATTCTCTCACCCGATCTTTTTTCTCTTAAATAATTCGAAGTGATACATAATTAAATTTTTTTTATTGTTAATTGTTATATCGATGATAATATGATTTGAAAGGATTTTAGATCAGCATTTCGCGGTTCAACGGATCAACGATACGATCCAATTTCAAAAGACTTCGATATATTTTTGATTTGTAACAGTCGAGTTGCGGTGATGCGAGGCCAAGTTGTAACCGAACAAGGAATTGGAATAGTAGGCATCAGGGTATCCGTGGACAGAGACCCCCGCTTTGGATTCACATTAACTAGAGCTGATGGATGGTGAGTTACTGATTTTATGATTTTACTGTATATCGTTTTGAATATGATACGTGAAGAATAAAAGTAGAAACTATAGATGAAATTATTCCATACGATATACGTATATCCATTTAAAATGCGAATTTATTTTCTTTGATACAATCATAATTATAGACTGAAATAAATGCCCTCTTTTTCTCTTAAGAAAACAAAAACGTGTACAAACACTCGTACCAATGATAAACACATAAACATATGGTGTGATATTAGTATTTGTCCTTGATGAATGTGTATGCCAGCTTGGACGCCCTTCGTAATAGGATCAAGGATGCATTGTAATGAAGGTTGTGGGAGGGGTGTGGGGAGATGATGAAACACCTATATCAAACAGGTATATAGTAATCCTGGCGAGGATAATCCTGAAACACGGAGCCGGAGGAGTTGGCCCTGTAAACCACATCAAAGCTCGAGCTAATGATGTCGAAAGCTTCCTAATTACTCCGTGCAAACCTGCGTGATTAGTCTGACCTATGTCTATCCCTTCTTCCCTCTTTTGTCGGATCACCAGCAAAATTTTACCATAATATACTGAACTGCAAACGTGAGAGAGAATATGCATATATTGGTATATAAATTCACGATAACATTTCCATTTCTATATATATATTTCCTATTTTTGTTTCATTTTTCATTCTCTATCTCTCTCTCTCGCATTCGTTTCACATAATCCCAAACGGAAGTTTGAGATAGAACTCTCTCGTTGTATTCACGGGTTAATGAATACGGGGCCATGATAGATTGGCAGTTATTGCGGCCAGATTCCCTGATAAATACGCATTTGTCACTATTTGATTGCGAATACGGCTTATATTGTATCCTATTCGTGAAACGGTTCCACGATTCATGTGTTTGTAACGCGACAAGAAACTTTCAAATCGGATTTCAAACATGTCCAGGCAAAAGTTTCTGGGGACTGGACCTTACGGCTTAGTTCAATTTGTCGCCTGTTGATGTCGCTACGTGACAAGAACGCACGATAAAATGAAAGAGAGAATTATGAGGATGCGTAGGGAACTATTTATTGGAATGTTTTTTCCTTGAAATTGAATAACGATGTGTTTGTATAATTCGAATTTTTCGTAATTTTTTTAAATTTTAATTTAATAGGTGAGATTTTTCAATAGCGATAAAGAATATTTTGAAATTAATCTTTATGCAATATATAATTAAAAATATTAATGTCAATTTTTGAACACATTTATAAAAAATTTTATATTAAGAATCATAATTTTTTGCAATTGAAATTTTTAAATGATTAAGAAAATCAAATAAATATCTTTTATCGATTGACCATAATTTATTATTATCTAATATTGAAAACTAAGATATAATTTGAAATATATTTTCGTATTTTGACCAGGTTCGATGTGTTAGTGAACGGTGGTGGTGCGGTAACGCTTCAATTTCAACGTAGCCCCTTTAAACCCCTCACGAGGACGGTGTTCGTGCCATGGAATCAAATAGTGGTCCTGCCACCTGTAGTGATGACTCTCAACGAGGAAGACGAATCTCCTAAATCCAACCAACCACCCAGTCCAGCTGTTGGTAAGTACGAATTCTTTATTATTATTATCTTTTTTTAAGTTTTTTGTCTTTTTTCACATTTTATCGTGTTGCGAAATCAACTGAAATTAAAATAAACAATGGTCCAATATGTTTCACATTTAAAACATTGAATAACTATTTTGTTTTTCATTTTTCATTTTTTTTATTTTATTTTTTTATTTATTTTTTAATTTCTATTTTTTATTTTGAATAAAATATATGTTAATTGTTTATTGCTTCATCATTGTCTTTCAACATGCAAAGAGGAATTCATAAAGGACCCATTGCTGATCGTGTGTGCCGTCTTTGTTCCGTCCTTAAGTGTTTTATGTTTTTAAGTTCCTTATCATTTATGGCATACAATATAATAGGCTTCCCAGGGATATCGATGGGACTCTTTAGCGAGCACGGTCCATGCTTGGAGCATGATCACGAATTATTGAGGCCAATCATCGTCAGTACTTGGATGCCAGAGAAGGTGGGAGGTCTTCCGGGCAAAAGTTTGGTATTCGCTGAAAGTCAGGTATATATTTTTCTTTTTCATAAAATTTCTATTAATTTTTTATTATATCGAAACCATTATTGAAATTAAATTTCTGAATTTTTCTTTGTTTTTTTTTTTCTTGCAGATCGTCCAAGAAAGCATTGCCATTCCAGGCTCGAATTTGCATTTGATGTATCAAAGCAGCCAGGCGGCCGGCTATTTATCGACTGTTAGAATGCAATTGACTGGACCGTTCATCCCAAAGTCACTGACACACGTGCACGTGCACGTTGAAATTGAGGGGTCATTGCACGCGAAGACCTATGAAGCAGACCCAAATTTGACGCACACGTTTGCTTGGAACAAGAGGAACGTTTACAAACAGAAGGTGTACGGTGTGGCACAGGCAAGGATCTCAATAGGCTATCAACACTCCACTTGTCCAGCGGTGATTTGGGAAACGCAGACAGCCATGTTGCAAGGTTTCGACGTCGATATTTCGGATATTGGAGGCTGGGGATTGGACATTCACCATCACTACAACTTTCACGAAGGAATACTTCAGAAAGGAGATGGTACCACTTTGCATTTCAAACAGTATCCTCGCACGGTAAAAGTGGTGATGGGCACTGGACTGCAAAGAAGCTTGGTGTGTCAAGATTGCGATGGTTTGGCTAAAGATGTTAGGTTATTAACACCAGTGGCGCTCACTAGTGGCCCAGATGGAAGCATCTATGTTGGCGATTTCAATCTGGTACGCAGGATTACACCTGAAGGGGAAGTATACACTGTTTTGACACTAAGGTGAGTTAGAGGCCATATTGAAATATGGCATATAAAGATAGTTTATCTAATTATAAATGTTTTAGTTTGTGCATGATGTACATATACATACAAATTTAGACTTAGATTTCTGAATAATGAGAAACATATATTTTCAGTGCAACTCAAGTGGCTTATGCTTATTATCTCTGCGTTTCCCCTGCGGATGGCCATTTATACATCAGTGATCCTGAAAAACATCAAATATTGAGAGCTTTATCTCTAAAAGATGTGGAACATCCCAGTATCAACATCGAGCCTATAGTTGGAAGTGGAGAAAGATGTATTCCTGGTGACGAAAGTCATTGTGGCGATGAAGGACCAGCTATTCGCGCCAAATTGGCTCATCCGAAAGGTACATTTTCATACAATTTAATAAACTAATTCGTTAACATTATATTATCACTGTTATTTACTTTGTATTAACCTTGTAGGAATCGCCATTGCCGCCGATAAGACTATGTACATCGCCGATGGAAGAAATATACGCGCCGTAGATCCTCATGGAATTATTCACACATTAGTTGGACACCACGGACACCACAATCACTGGTCCCCAGCTCCATGCGTTGGTGCTATACCTGCTCATCAAGCCCAATTACAATGGCCAACTGGATTGACCTTAAGCCCTCTGGATGGATCTCTTCATTTCATCGATGACAGGCTGGTTTTGAAACTTACAAGCGACTTAAAAGTTCGCGTAGTAGCTGGAACGCCGCTCCATTGCACTAGTAACACCAATAGCAATGGAAACAGCAACGACAGTGATCTAAAAAAAGTAAATTCGACGACAACCACGAGTCCAAAGAAGTCTGATGAAGTACTTGGTTCTGTACTTGCCGTTAGTTTCAGTCCAACTGGTGAACTCTACATAGCAGAAAGCGATTCACACAGAGTGAATTCTATCAAAATTGTAGATAGTTCTGGGAAAATGTCTCATTTTGCTGGACAGCAACAAGAAAGATTGCGTGGTCAGTGTGAATGTAATAATACTACTCCAAGCAGTAAAGATCTGGAAAGTTGCGCATGCACCGATGACACCAGTAGTACAGAAACTTTGTTGTCATCGAATGCTAAATTCACAGCCATTTCTGCTCTGGCTGTGTCACCAGATGGCGTCCTTCACGTGGCTGATCAAGGTAGCCTGCACATTTTAGCTCTGCAACCCTATCTTCCAAATCATGACGAAAGTGGGGAATTTCATATTCCTTTCCCACCATCGAACGAGGTATACGTATTCAATCGTTACGGTCAACACATCTCCACGAAGGATTTAACATCTGGCAAGACTCGTTATTCGTTCTTGTATAGCAAAAACACAAGTTTTGGAAAATTATCTACCGTGACGGATAGTGCCGGAAATAAGATTCAATTCTTAAGGGATTACAGCAGTGTGGTCAGTTCTATAGAGAATACACAAGATCATAAATCTGAATTAAAGATTTCTGCAGTTGGCTTCTTGGAAAAACTCTCTGAACGAGGAAGAGCTGAAATTGCACTTGCCTATGATGGTTCAACTGGATTACTGACAAGCAGATCAGGGGGTGGTGAAACGTACATCTACAATTATGATAACTTGGGTCGTGTTACTGATGTCATTCTACCTACTGGTGAAAAATTGAAGCTATTCTCTGATCTATCCGACGACGAAGGTCTATTGGTCAAAGTGTCAGCCCCTCTTCAAGCTTTGTCAAAGGGAGACAAGCAGAGGATCGTAGAATTTAAAATGAAAAATGAGAGATCAAAGATGTTAACGATTATTGATGGCACCAAAATCAAGAAAGCGATCGCTTTCACTAATAGCAGTTTAGAGGTTCTCCTTCCCGGTGGTGGTAGAGTGCTAAGTGCAGCTACTACAAAACATCCTCTTCTGGAGGCTGCATTACCAGTCGAGGCTGAAATGTTGCCAATGTGGAGTTATCAGTTGATGTCTCTTGGTGAATTAACCAACACTATGACAACCACGTACAACCTAGTCGGCGATGTTAGCCACTTTCAACAGACATTAAACAGAGAGATTTGGGTGAACGATACACGGGTTATTGGGGTAGAATTCGAACAAGCTTTCAGGCGAGAAACTTTCTACGATAGAGCGAGAAATCCACTGCTTACTGTTACCTTCGATCCTGCTGGCTTACCCCTGACTTGGCAACCGCATGAACAAGGTTACAATCTCACAATCACGTATGATAGATTCAATCGAATAGAAAGTTGGAAGTGGGGTCCATCCGATGAATCTTATGGATACGATCGCCATGGACAATTATCAGAGGTCACTAGTAGTCAGGATGGAACTAAACGATATACCTATAATGATTTCAATGTGTTATCCAACATTACTCTGGCCAGTGACAGACATTTCACTTTACAATATGATGATGATGGTGGACTACGTCACATTATCCTCCCATCAGGAACTAAACACTCGTTCTCGTGTCAAACTTCTCTAGGTTTTCTCAGAGTGACCTACACTCCACCGGGCAGCAGCAGAGCCTACCTCCAACACTACAGTCACGACGGAAACTTGTTACAAACTGTGTTCCCTGGTGATGGAGCTCGTATCGTGTATAGGTACCACACTTCAGGACAACTTGCTGAAGTCGTTCACGGTGATGGAAAGAGTGAAATTAGATATACTGAAAGCGGTTTGCCTTCGGAAGTGATTCATTCTGAAAAGGACGTAGAGTACAAATGGGATTATCAATATAGCGCCGGTCTGTTGGTGGAAGAACGCATAGATTTCGGTGCAAAGACTGGACTTAGCAATGCAAAGTTTACGTTCGACTATGATTCAAACTTCAGATTGGTGAATGTTCAAGGTAGAATCGGTGGTCAAACTCTTCCAACTCACACTATAGCATACAGTCCCAAAACAGGTATGCTGGAACAAATTGGACAATTCAAAGTAACTAGACCTCAGCCCAACGAGACCACCGTGTTCGATGGAACTGCATTGTTTTCGAGAATTACGGATGACAGATTTTTAGAGACACAAGTGACATTGACGATTCATCAATTAGAGGTTTTCAGAATGGAATTTACACATGATACTCGTGGTCGTATTAATCAGACTAGGACTTATACTCGCAACGTGGCTGTCAATACTTATACCAACGTGAAAAATTACACGTGGGATTGTGACGGCCAATTGACTGGGGTCGAAGCTCAAGAGCCATGGGGATTTAAATACGATGCTAATGGGAACATGTTGTCATTGACGTATCGTGGAAACACTATACCTATGGAATACAACAGTATGGATAGGATTGTGAAATTCGGTGAAGGATTGTATAAATATGACAACAGAGGTTTGGTGGTGCAAAATGCTAGGGAAGAAAGATTTAACTATAATGCTAAAGGACTTTTGGTTCGCGCGACCAAACGTGGACGCTTTGATGTTCGTTATTATTACGATCATCTGGATCGTTTGGCTACAAGAAAGGATAATTATGGAAACGTCACTCAATTCTTTTATAACAACCAAAAACGTCCTCATGAAGTAAGTCAAATTTATAGTCCAAGGGATGGAAAATTAATGTCGTTAGTGTACGACGATAGAGGACATTTGATTTATGCTCAAGTTTATCGGCACAAATATTATATAGCCACTGATCAGTGTGGAACCCCAATCATGATTTTCAGCCAGTATGGCGAAGGTATAAGAGAAATTATGAGATCACCTTATGGGCATATTGTTTACGACTCGAATCCTTATTTATATCTGCCTGTTGATTTTTGCGGAGGATTGCTAGATCAGGTGAATTAAATTTAATCATAATTGTTGTTAATTATAATTTTGATTGGTATGTTCGTTTCTTTAAATTCTTTTTTTTTTTTTTTTAATTTAGGTAACGTCATTAGTGCATATGCCAAACGGTAAAGTTTATGATCCACTGATAGGTCAATGGATGTCTCCCTTGTGGGAAAATGTTCTTGATAGAGTAGACACACCAACACATCTACATTTATATAGATTCAATGGGAATGATCCTATTGATGTTAGGCACACGGATCGACCAAATCAACCAACTGGTAAGTTTCATTAGCAAATAATTAAAATATCTTCATTAAAAATAATAAATTTACATCATATTAATAATACTTATACGATACAAATTAACAATTAATTAAAATACGAATATCAATAAATACTATTAAAAAATATAAGTATTTGACTATTTACTTATTGTATCTTATTTTCAGATCACATATCATGGATGTCGCTTCTTGGATACGATTTGAAGACACTCGCACCTCAACTTTTCCCCGACGAACTGCCAGATAGCCTCGTCCCTCCAGCTTTGGGTCCAGGCACTTCCATATTTGGAAAGAAGAAAAGAACCAGGAACCTCGGTGTTCAATCGGGATTTCTAGCCTATATCGCACAAAGGCATTCCGGAGATGCCGTCAGTTTATCAGCACCGCCTCGTTCAGCCCTTAAAAAGGACACCAGCGACTTGATACCCAGCCGTTTGGGTGCAGCCTCGGATCCTCCATTTGGAAAAGGAATTTTAGTATCGAGGACTGCAGATGGCCAAGCAGTAGTGTCCAGCGTGCCAACCGCGAACGCCATCTATGGCGATGTGTTCACATCGGTATTTAACCGTTCGTACTTTCTACCTTTCACGTTTGTGGTGCACAGTGCGCAACAGGACGCATTTTATTTCGTGAAGGAAGAAACGTGGCGAGCTAGTGAAGATCGTGGTCAGTTGAAACGTTTAGGTGGCCAAGTCAATACAACATTTCACGAAAACGAAAACGGAAGTGGAAGTAGTTCATTGATAGACGTGAAGATCCACGGCTCCAGTTATATTGTGAATTTGCGTTACGGCACGACTGCCGAGAAAGAGAAACAAAGACTGCTCCATCACGCCAAGGCGACCGCTATTCGCAAAGCCTGGCACAGGGAACGTGAGGCGCTAAAAGCCAACACGCCAACGGCTATCGAATGGATGGTGGCCGAGCAAGACGAGATTCTGAAATCTGGATCCGCGTCGAATTACGAGGGTGAATACATCCACGATGCACAGTTGTATCCAGAACTCGCGGAAGACCCGTATAACATCCGATTTACAAAGAAGGCTGTGGATCCGTCTAGCAAAAAACGGCGTAGGAGGAGAGGTGCCCCAACTTGTAAACTTTGGTGGTTGGACAAAATCTGCTAATCTCATTAGGTTACCGTTCTAAACCAGGGAGTCCTCCTCTCCTGATACATTCTGTTCTGCCGGGAGAATTGTCCAATCGTTGAAGGAATTTCCAAACGAACGACTGAACGAATAAGAAGAGGTTGGAAAAAAAAAAAAAAAAGAAAGAAAGAAATAAGATTGAGCCGCAGCAAGTCGGCAGTCCTTCGTATGGAACACTACCGAACACTATCAAAACAAAAAAAAAAAAAAAAAAAAGTTTTATACCAAAGTCTATTTGTGTATTTCGAAGATGCCAAAAACATTTAACGTTATATCGATTATATTGTATCGCGATTTAGGGTGTAGTGTGTAAGCATCTCGGAGAAAATTTTTGCCTCCGCGCACGACCGTATTGCCATAACTCGCGACTCTTGCGGACTGATAGTATATTATCATCGTCGGCCATATTAGGGAAATTCGTTATTAATTCGTTAGGAAGCCTTTCTTCGTTCTTGCAACAGTTACGGAAAACGACGGAAGAGGTCGTGACCATTTCATTGTTTCCTTCTTCGCGAGATAAGAAAGACTTCCTTAACGAAGACGATCGTGGAATCGCGAAAATTATGTGCGTTCACTATCGTTAACTCGCAACGAATCACTACGTCATTGTGATGAGAGAAAAATGAAGGCAGAAAGCAGGCCATTCGTCGTTCGAGCGAATCGAGTGAGAGAAACTAGTCAATATATAGCTTTACATTGACATATAAACTTTTTCCAATAAGATAAGCATACGAAGCGCGATCGTCGATTTATCATGCGAAGAAATAAACTTTGTGTATCCATTCTATCTGTCTACACACGCGATACCTTAGTTGTACTTAGGTAATGAAAAAAAAAAAAAATAAAATAAAATAAAAAAAATTAATGAAAAAGACGATTCTGTCGAGATAAGATACATACGATGAACATAACCTATGTACGGATCGCAAAATAAAAGTGGAAGGAACATGCGCACGTGTATCTCGACAATGAATGGCCCTGTAAATGCTGAGGAAAATCAAGTAAAAGAAGTCCGTCGCTATGCATAACGATTGATCAGCGTCCAAAGTGTCGATGAAACATTGCAAGAACGCGAGATAATGGCGAAGTAAGTGGTTCGATCGAGACAGGTGATTAACGTAGCACGTTTCGAATCGATATTCCGAATTTAGATGGTCGATGGGGCAAAAAAAAAGAAAAAGGAGAAAATGGCGGTGTGTTTAAGGTGTATTATAAAAGTGGTGCTTTTCCATGCAAAGAAAGAAATTATCGGTGCAACAATTCGACAATGAGCGTGACTAATTAAAAGAATGTCGATGTACACGACACACAATTCACACACACGTACACTGCATAGCGTGGCTAAGGTATTTTTAACGATGGATGTATCCTACCCACTTCCCCTACTTAGCGCTAGCGACCATTTCCTCGAGAATTGATGTCGCGTCGCGTATGATTTGTTGTTCAAAAGGGAGGGAGAGAGAGAGAGAGAGAGAGAGAGAGAGAGAGAGAGAGAGAGAGAGAGAGAGAGAATTATCATCGTGAATGAATGATCAATAAAAATACAATAAATAAAGATCTATCGTCGTTTCGTTTTCTGCAATTAGAATGAATTGAGCAGAAGGAAATGTCGGGAGATTCAATTAATATCAGTCTGTTTAAATTATAATTGAAAATGAAAGAAAGTGTGAAAATGTGGAAAATGTGTGTGGGAGAGAAAGAGAAAGTGAGATAGACAGAGGATAAACTCCATTATCGGTAATAATACGTATACATGAGATATTATTGCATATTTGTGCTTGCTGGATACGAATAATGGAACGTTAACTATGTTTCTTCGCCGAGTACTAAGTGTGTATATCTAAATTTAATGCTCGACAGCATCGATCGATTTTATGTTATATACTGAACGCCATATAGGTACATCTATGTAAAAATATTATTTAGCACCAATTTCCGCTAAAATCCTTACCTTTAAAACAATTGCCCTTAATTAGCAACTTACTGCCTGCTCCACATGTATAGCGTCCGAATTTATCTGAGCCCCGCCCTTTTTATCCCCACTCCGTCCTTTCTTAAGTCACGTGTCACGATTCTTTGTTCCGTTCCAACTGTATCTAAATCTTTTCCGCAGTTCTTTTTCTCGATCTCTTCATTTTGCAATTTATCCCGGTTTCTTTGAACATTTATCATCAAAATATTTTATGGATATTGCTTTAGACGGCGCCGTTCTTAAAATGGATATAGATAGGACATTATCGTCTGAATAAATGAGAAAACAATTAAAAAAAACATTTTAAAAAAAAAATTTCCTTACACGCTGAATGTATAAACAAAGACAAAAAAAATACAAAATATATAAATATATAAAACAAAGAGAAAGAGAAAAAAGAAAAAAGAGATTATATAGGAAAGCTTCGTAACATATTTTTGACTCGAGCAAGTATTTAGAGCTGCATTGAAACACCAAAAATTCTTCAAACTCTGTGGTCCAAACGAGCTCTCGTGTCTTAATGAGATTAAAATTGAATATCTTCTTTCAATTCTCTTTTTTTTTTTTCTATGCGTGTAATTTTTTAAATATGTTAAAAAAAATATTTTTGCTCGTTCGATATTGTACATAACCTATAATTACCGTTTTTTCATCTTCCTTCAATTTTCCTCCGACCATATAGCGGAAGGATCAATTACATTCACACGATAATGGACCCTGAGATAATTGGTGATCGAACTACAGCTTCTATTTTGTGGACTTTTAAAAATTCCACACTTGATCCTTACCCCTACCCTTCCGATTCCCTCCACCCCAATTCATTCGTATAATCTATATATACCGTGTATAATCGTTGAATCGGCAATGGCGTTCAAAAAATTAACTATTTTTCAAAATGACTGAAGAAGTAGAAGTATCGAGTGTCAAATTATTAAAACGGATTAGATCGACGCAAGTTGATCGGCGTTTCAAAAGGCGGATTCAACGTGCAGGGTCGCGAGAACTCAATTAAAACTGTTCGAGTATCTGATTAGTATCAAAAAAGTGAAAAAGAAAAAAAAAAGAAATATGAAATGAAATGAAAAAAGAAAAAAAAAAAAACAAGTGAACAGATTCGCTCTCTTAACTTCCGTGAAGTTTCGTCTCGTTTCACTAAAAAGACTTTCTATAAGAGAAAAAAAAAAAAAAAAAAGAAAAGATAAATGAATATGTACTCCAAAGTTTTCGACTGCGGAGTTAACGCGCGAGCATATTTATAAATACGAGTATAAATATAAATATATAAATATACATATAAAAATATATATATATATATAAATATAAATACTTCTGGAATTAACGGGGTAGAAAAAGCTCGAACGAAATATGATCGTCATCATTATTATTATTATTATCGCATTAATTATCACTACGGTGCAAAGACACAGATTGTAATGGGAAATGATCGCAAAATGTCTTTATTAAATAGTTATGGCCGAGCTAGCTGAATCCGTCGGACCACATGAGGTGTACTCGATTCTCACAAAGTGAACTTCGTCCTTGGATTATATTAAAAATGACGAAGTTGAGATCAGGAAGAGTACAGAAATTTGAGTATATGAAATGATTTATCGAGAGAGAGAAAGAGAGAGAGAGAGAGAGAGAGAGAGAGAGAGAGAGAAGAAGAATGAAAGAAAAATTGGAGAGAATGTATGCGTGAAAGAAACGTATGCGAGAAAGATGGAGAATGAATGCGCAATCAGTCATGCTACAGCTACTACGACCACTACCCTAAGTAGATTATGCTACTTCGCCGCTGATCTAATTGTTTACTGTCACGTGTTGCTGTAAACCTAAACTAACGATACGATATATTTTATTTATATAATCTAATCGACTGTATTTATTGTAAATAGTCACGATGTTTGCTATGATATAATATATCTGTAATTGGATGGAACTTGCCTGGAAATTGCGCCCACAGCCCTGTCCTCTGATCAATGTCTCTCTATACATGACACACACATACCCAACACATCAGACATCACTGGTGCATGTGTCTCAACACATGTACACGTAACACATATGCGGATACAGAAGTATGTAAGTAGGTATTATATGTATATGTATATAGTAATACCTGGTTAAACGTCCGTCAATCGAATTCATAAGGAATGGAATCTGTATCAATTTATTAAAATTTATTCCAAAGTTTATATAAAAAAAATTATGAATTTTAAAAAAAATTTCAAATAATAAATTGAAATAAATAATTACTTAATTATGTAAGTAATATAAGATAGAGTTTATTTTAATTATATAATTTTAAATATTATATTGAAATACCTACTTATAAGAGAAGTAATGATGATATTGAATTCTTATATTCTTCAATTTTTTTTTTCATTGCTTAGTCCAAAGAAATAAGTATTAAGCTGAAAAATTTAGATTTGATGATGAGTCGTCGATAATCTGAGAAATTATTACTTTTTGCAATTTAATTAATAAAAAAGAATATAAAGAATATAATTTTTGTAATGAAAAAAACAGGACAGTTATCCAGGGATTACTGTACATGATTATGATAAGAGATAATTCGTGGGTTAAAAAAAAATAAGAGGTGCAAAGCACACGTGCTGCTCGCGTAACCCATGACGATGGGAGAGATAAAGACAAAAGATATACTCTGTATCGCGTTCGACGAATTATTACGATGTCAATATTTCGCGTCGCATAATATAACGGCGAGATTATTCTCGTTATAACTTTGCCTACTGTTATTAATATTACGATCAATTTCGTGAATTTCGGTAAATTCGGCGTGCAATACAAAAAAAAAAGCCCATTTTCGAGGATGAAAGCGAACGATGGTCAGACAATTTTTATAAACGTATTATATTCATCCGTATCGCGCGATGAAAAAAAATTTTTCAACGACTGCCATCTCGAACTGCCATCCATCGATCGATGGTTCCATTTATTAGAGAGAGACAAGAAAGAAAAGAAATTTTTTTCGAAACAAATTCCGTTGTCGTACACGTGTGTCGCGAAAACCCAACCAGCATGTCCAGTAACAATTACAATATTACTATCATAAGTACAATATATTAAGTGTTTTCAGAAAATATATGATCTATATATGATAATAAAAGCGGGAAAACGTTTTATAGTTTGTTATTCTCTCATCTATAGTCATTGATCCTCGTTCACCTTCGTCTCATTCCGAATAAAATATCGTTTTGCGTGTGTTCTGATGTTTTTGATTTAGAACTTCAATCTTCTTTCTTCATTTTAGCAAGTATACAGAGCGCGAGAAGAAAACTCATTAACTGAAATGAAAAGTCAATTGAATTCAAGTTTTTGAACTGTCTATATTCGCAATGAGGAATCGTTCGACTCACTGTAGTTATAAAAATCAACAGCACGGACATACTAATCGTGTGCATATGAGACTTGAGTAATAACACAGCGTTTTTCAGGCATCCTGATTTATAAGATACCGCTTCCGTCATTTGTAAACACTATAAACAATTTTTTTTTTTGTAAATTTAATAAGAGAAAGAAAAGTAAAAATATCAGATTTGTTTTAAGCTTAAAGTTGTTTAAAGTTAAATGATTCTTATCAAACAGTAAATAACATATTGATGTAAAAATTTGGACATGTGGATAACTATTACGCAAAATTCGTAATTCGTATATTAATATGAAAAGATTAATATTATAATTATTAGAAATGTTTCATGGCAGATACATGACATTTTATGTTAAAACGCATTAAGAGACATTCTACAATAACTCAAGGGTATGTAAAGTCAATTCATATAATTCAAAAATATATAATTTATATTAATTTGTGGAAAAACAAAAAAATTTTTCAATAATTATTATCAATAATGATATAAGATATAGTTTGAAGTTTATCTGACTACTTTTTATGATCTTTAATAATTAAGTATGATAAATCATTTAAGTTTTGCAAATATAGAAGGAAAATATATATTATTAGCACAATATTAAAAAATTTATTTGATTAAATATTTTCTTGATATCTTTCAATTTTAAAATCAATTGTATATATTTCATATTCATATCAGATATTTCATATGAAAATCAATACTAATATATGTATTCAAGGAATTATTTATAAACAAAAAAAAATTACTTCTTCGATAGATCCAAGACAACAACTCTTCGGAATATCAACACGATATTTGGTCCAGTCCTTTGCGGATTTTATTCCACAACATTTTAACTAAAATATAATTTTTTTAAGAACTAATTTTTAAAACAAGAAAGCCCAATTAAAATCTTTCAGAGACATCTTGAGGTAAGTATAAGAAACTGATCTTACATATCTGTGGGTATTGTCCCAAGCTTCTCTACTCAAGGATGAGGAATGATAATTTTCGATGGCGGCGCTCATGTCGTCCTGAATTCTTTTGGTAATTTTTTCGAAAATCCAAAAGCTCATTATGGCGCTGATAAATATAATGCATAGAAATATCGAATAACAAATACCATACTGTAATAAAATAACTCTTTAAGTCTCTTTTTTTAATTAAATAATATTTAATATATATTAAATGTATCGGAAGGAAAGAACATATAACAAACTTATAATTATTAATTTATTATCAAAACCTACAATGTTCAAGAATTTTCTTCTTCTTCGAAGTAAACCAAGAATTCCCAATAATGATACTAATGAGGCAATTAAACTTATAAATAATAATATTGTAATAAAAAAGTGTTGATCTATCAATCTTAACATTATTCTACTATCTGTGAAAATCCATGTAGAGGTTACAATGCCAACAATGCCTGCAAGCTTTAATTAATTTATATAAAATTATGTGAGAATTATTTAAATAAATATATAAAAATCAATAAAAAATATTCTCTCAAGGATATTTACTTTTACATAATCAATTCTATTCAAAAATTCTAAAAAATATTAAATAAATTAAAATTATTGTAATAAACGATTTCTTAAAATTATATTTACGTAACTCATAAATTAAGTAAAAAAATATTTAATACAAATTTATTTATCAATATATTAAAAATTTACTATTAATTATATTATAATAATCTATTTACTTACAAATGTTACAATATTAATTATCAAAAAAGTCACTTGAATAAATCGTTGCAATAAGCCATTATGCGAAAATTTTTGAAAATGTGTTCCTAGAAAATGTGAATATTTATCGGTAGATCCAGTTACATTACTATCAGTGACGTCCTTATCATCATCCGTTTCTGTTTCATTTTCATTTTCATTATTTCTCTGGTCTGATGTACGGGAAAAAAATTTATTCCAGTTCATTGATACGGTATAATCAGAATGTAGTTAAAATAAGTGAATAAAAATTACTAAGAAATGATAACAATTTGTTATTTTAATTTGTTATTTAAATATTAAAATTAAAATTACATTTTAATATATTATTAATAAACTAAGTTACAATTATACTTAATCAAATTACATTATTGTATTTATATTACTATTTATTTTATGATATAATAAAATAATTTATTTTATGGATATTTTTTTTAATATTTACATATAAATGTATTATGTGCAATTTTATTTATTTCGAATATATTTACTAGAATATTTAAAACTTTTTAATAGTTATTTTTTTTTAATAATACATATGATTTTTTCACTAAATACTTATATAATATTTTTATTTTTTAAATTAAAAATAATTAATAACAATTTTTTTTAAATTTTATTTAAATAAATTTAAATAAAAATTGTATCTTTAAAAATTTAAAAGCTATTTTTTTTTTATTTATTTATTTTTCAATATTAACAACTTGTAATGTAATTTTAATAAATAATGAAAATAGAACTAAATATTAAAATATTTTCGCGCCATTTCTATATATGCTCTCAGTATTTATAAGCAAAATATTCGTATTTAATGTGTCATTTGAGATATAATAAAATAAGATGAATAAAAGACAATTTTCAGCATCTTCCACTGCAAAAAAAGCAAAATATCGGTAAATATTTACAATATTTGCTAACAAATTTGTTTTAACCTTAATTTATTGTTCTATATTTACATTTCTCTTATTAAATTATTAAAAAAAATTGTATTGAGATAAATTTAATTTATATATTGTTTTTTATATTATATAATTAATACATATATCACAAATAATTAAAAAAAATTAATATTATATCTTTCATATTATATTTTTCAATTCTGCATGTAAATATATATGTTATATTTATTGCTTTATATTTTTTATTACTATTTTATTTATATATTTTTATTGTTACTTATTATTATTACTAAACTTTTAATATATTTTTTATTTAGTAATAGAGATGAAGATGACGATGACTATCCTGGTTCATTTGAAGCAGAATTGGCTACTATGGATGAAATGGAAGATGAATTTGGAAATACTATGTCTCAAGTTATTGAAGAGGTATATAAATATTATATCAATTATGTTTATTAAATAAAAATTATAATATGAAATTTTTTTTTGACAAAAATTTGTATTAATAATAATTTTAATATGTAAGATAATTTTATATTTTAATTTTATATCAATAATATTTTATTATTTTAGCCAATTCCTGTGCAATTAAATAAAACATCAAAAGCAGTGAGTTAATGAATGTAACAAAAGTATGTTTTATAATAAAATAACATTTATTAAGCATATTATTGCATAAACATATTATTATATATTACAAGACATATTAATATTAATTTCCAGTTTTTTTTTTAATGCAACTTAATGTATATTATATTCATAAATAATTAAATTCATCATTTAATTCACACATTTAATGTTATGGATTCATTCATTGACTTATTTTTAATTTGCTTTTAAATGCTTTTTTATTACGCATATTTTTTTTGTATGCGTAATTTTATTTTTTTATTGTTTTGTTTGTGTCATGTACTATTTTATATATTATATAGTATATCTTTTTAAGTAATTATTTATTTTTAATAAATTTTCATTAGGGTCCTGAACAAGAAAATACATCTTCAAAATGGAGTAGGCCTCCACCTCCAGAATTAAATCCACAGAAGGATGCATTAATTTTTCAACAAATAGAAATTGATCATTATAGTGGTAAATAATATTATAAATATCAACAAAATCTATTCTAGCTCTTAAAATTTTATAAAAATAAAATATTATATTTTATAAAATATAAAATATAATTTAATTAATTAATTTCATTAATTAAATTTTTTTTCAAGGTATACCATTGCCTGGAATGCCAGGTAGTAATATGCCTCCTGTACCAATAATGAGAATGTTTGGTGTTACAGAATTAGGAAATTCAGTTTGTTGTCATGTTCATGGTTTTAGTCCTTATTTATATGTTATAGCACCAACAAATTTTAATGATCATCATTGTAAATTATTTAAAGTATGTAATTTTAAAAATCAATATGTATCAGTAATATATTTTAAACAAATATCACAAATTATTTTATTACAACATATTATTTAGGAGGCTTTAGATAAAGCAATATTGAAAGATATGAGATCTAATCCAGAAAATATTCAGATAGCTGTGTTAGCTGTTGAACGAGTATTTAAACAAAATATGTATGGATATACAGGAGATGAAAAATCATTGTTTTTAAAAATTACATTAGCACTTCCAAGATTAGTATCACGTTGTAAGAAAATAGTTGAAGAAGAGACTATTTTATCTGAATTCAAGCATCAATATATTGCTTTTGAAAGCAATATTGACTTTGATATTAGGTGTGCACTTGAATTATATCTTTTACTTTTTAATTTTAATTTTTTCTAAATAAATAATTATTTATTTAAGATTTATGGTTGATACATCAGTAGTTGGATGTTCATGGATTGAATTACCACCTAAAACTTGGAAGCTTCGACAACATTTTGGACACAATTTACCATTAACTGCAAGATGTCAGTTAGAAGTTGATGTTGCATGGGATACTTTTATTGCACATGCTCCACAAGGAGAATGGTCAAAAATTGCTCCATTTAGAATTCTTAGTTTTGATATTGAATGTGCAGGACGCAAAGGTAAAAATTCATTTTTTGATTAAACAAACTCTTTTTTATATGATACATAATTCACTTAATTTTTTTAATATAAATATAGGTATATTTCCCGAACCAAATCATGATCCAGTGATACAAATTGCTAATATGGTAATAAAACAAGGAGAATCAGAACCATTTTTACGAAATATTTTCACCCTTGATACTTGTGCACCAATTGTTGGTTGTCAAGTTTTAAGTTTTGAAACAGAACATAAAATGTTAGAAGTATGATTTTATTATTTTAAATTTAACTTTGCATTAATCATATTGAAAATCAACCAATACATATTATATTTTATTTTTCTTAGAAATGGGCAGATTTTGTGAGACAATTAGATCCTGATATTTTTACAGGATATAACATAAATAATTTTGATTTTCCTTATTTAATTAATCGAGCAAATCATCTTAATGTACGAGATTTTTATTTCCTTGGTCGAATAAAAAATATAAAATCTGTAATTAAAACTCAAGTACTTCAAAGCAAACAAATGGGTCGTCGTGAAAATAAATTCATTAATTTTGAAGGAAGGGTTCCATTTGATTTATTGCTGGTAAAATCAATTATCCTTAGAATTATTAATTATAAATTTGTATAACAATAAATATTTATGATTATGTTTTTAGGTATTGGTTAGAGATTATAAATTAAGATCTTATACTTTAAATGCTGTCTCTTATCATTTTTTACAAGAACAAAAAGAAGATGTTCATCATAGTATTATCACAGATTTACAAAATGGTAATGCACAAACACGTCGAAGACTTGCTGTTTATTGTTTGAAAGATGCATATTTACCACTTAGATTGTTGGATAAGTTGATGTGTATTTTTATTTATATGGAAATGGCAAGAGTTACTGGAGTTTCCATATCTAGTTTATTAACACGAGGTCAACAAATTAAAGTTGTTTCACAATTATTGAGAAAGGTTAATAACAATAACAAACTAGATAATTGTAATTCCAATTAAAATTCTACTAAAGATATTTAATTTCAGACTCGAGAGAAAGATTATTTAATGCCAGTGCATCGAGGTCAAGCTAGCGATGAACAATTTGAAGGAGCAACAGTTATAGAACCAAAACGTGGATATTATAATGATCCTATTGCAACTTTAGATTTTAGCTCTCTATATCCTAGTATTATTATGGCTCACAACTTATGTTACACAACATTGATAAAATACGATAAACAGGCTAAAAACAATATTCAATCAGATAATATTACTATAACTCCTAATGATTCGAAATTTGTCAAAGTTAACATCAGAAAAGGAATCCTTCCAGAAATTTTAGAAAATCTTTTGTCAGCTAGAAAAGCAGCAAAAACTGAACTGAAAAAAGAAACTGATCCATTGAAACAAAAGGTTTTAGATGGTAGACAATATGCTTTAAAAGTATCTGCTAATTCTGTGTATGGTTTTACTGGAGCACAAATGGGAAAACTACCATGTTTGGAAATATCTGCAGTAGGATTTTAATATTTATACTTTTTAGTTTAATAAATTATATTATTTTACATATAATAAAAAACATTAATTTTCAGAGTGTCACTGCATATGGACGTACTATGATAGAACGAACAAAACAGGAAGTAGAAGAACAATACTGCATTTCTAAAGGATATAAAAATAATGCAGTGGTCGTATATGGTGATACTGATTCTGTTATGATTAAATTTGGTGTGAAAACAGTAGAAGAAGCTATGGAACTCGGTAGAGAAGCAGCGGAATATGTATCCTCAAAATTTTTAAAGCCAATAAAACTGGAATTTGAAAAAGTATATTTTCCATATTTGTTAATTAATAAAAAACGATACGCCGGTTTATATTTTACTCGTCCAGACAAATATGATAAAATGGATTGCAAAGGTCTAGAAACTGTACGAAGAGATAATTGTCCATTAGTAGCAAATATGATGAATACTTGTTTACAAAAATTACTTATTGACAGGTAATAATATTATATTTATATAATAAAATAAAAGTATTTAATCTGTTATGCATTTTTTTTTTTTTTGTAGAAATCCCAATGATGCTATGAATTATGCAAAACAAATTATAAGTGACCTTTTATGTAATCGTATAGATATTTCTCAGTTAGTAATTACAAAAGAATTAACTAAAACTGATTATGCAGCTAAACAAGCACATGTTGAATTAGCAGCAAAAATGAAAAAACGAGATGCTGGAAATGCACCAAAACTTGGTGATAGAGTACCATATGTTTTTATACGAGCAGCCAAAGGCACACCAGCTTATCAAAAAGCAGAAGATCCAATTTATGTCTTAGAAAATAACATTCCTATAGATACAAATTATTATTTAGAAAATCAATTAGCCAAACCACTAGTACGTATTTTTGAACCAATCCTTGGTGAAAAAGCTGAATCACTTTTGTTGAAAGGAGATCATACACGCACAAAATCTGTTGCTACATCAAAAGTTGGTGCATTATCTGCATTTACACGTAAAAAGGAAATATGTTTAGGTTGCAAAGCTGTTCTTGTATCGGAAAGAGAGAAAATGGCATTATGTAAATATTGCGAACCGAAAGAAGCAGAATTATATCAAAATGAATTATATCTTGGTAGAAAATTAGAAGAAAAGTTTTGTAGATTATGGACAGAATGTCAAAGATGCCAGGGAAGTCTTCATCAAGAAGTATTATGCACAAAGTGCGTTCTTAAACAACTTAAACAACTGAAAAATGTCATATATTTTTATTAAATTAAGATAATTAGTATATAATAATATTAGAATATAGTAAAATAAATAGAATATAATAATATTAAATTTAATATTATATCTTTTCAGTCGTGATTGTCCAATATTCTATATGAGAAAGAAAGTTCAAATGGAATTAGATACACAAATAAAACGAATTGAAAGATTTGGAATTCCATCATGGTAATATCAATAGATCAGTAAACATGATAGGTATGTTTTTATATATTATTGATTCATATAAAAAAGATAACTTTAAAATAAATATATATATTAATCAAATTAAAAGCAATATCAATACTGAAAATAAGAAAACTAGGATAAAACACAAATATTATATCATTAATAAAATATTTAATTTTTTTTTTCAAATTTTTTTACAAATTATACATAAAAAAATGGATAAATTCATATAATAATATAATTTAATATAACATATATTTTTGAATATATATATTGAAATTTTTTTCTATATATATAGATACATTTTAAAAATTCAAAAATTATACAAATCAATCTTATTAATTAGAATAAGTAATTAAAATGCAATTAATAATTGCGAAATATTTATTATGAAATAGTATTTATATAGATTTTAAATACATAAATTAGTTATCAAATCTTAGTACATTGCTCAAGAAGTTTATTTGAATAATTAATACTTAATTAGAATTTAATATTTGGTATTAAAATTAAATAATTCAATATTAAATAAAAATAATGAAATGTATTTTTTAATTTTGTCAAATATTAAATACGATTAAAATATTAAATTTGTTTTTGTACGGCAGTATTATTATACTTAACAAATTTATAAATATCATTCAAGATATTGTGTTTCAATTTTACACAAAATCTTTTTGTTTTCTATATTGTGTTTTTCTTTTATATAAAAAAGAACATTTTACATATATACCTTAACATTATATGAATGAAATTAAACCAATTACATATATTTACATAACTATTCACACAGTATGTCAAAATATTGACATTTCAAACGATTTCCAATTTTACTGCAATATTTATAAATAATCTCTTTGATTAATAATAAAAAATGATATATTTATATTAATATACATTACACTTTTTTTACACTTATTATTTGCCAATATAATATTAAAAATCCAAAGATGCTGTAATATTATGAAAAATAAAATAAAAATTACACAGAAAGAATACAGCAATGATTAAATCATATGAAAAAAAATATTTAAATTGAATAAATCTTTATGTTTATTTCATTTAAATTTCTATAGAAAGATAAAATTTTTGTTTTTATTTTTATTCCCTGCTTCACATTATGAAAATTATAAATATCGTTTTTCGATGAAATTCGATTAAATAAGACTATTTAAAATATAATTATAATAAATAAACGGAATAAAGTGTCCAGCTTTGCGTGGCTTGTTCAATTTGACAGTCATATGACTAGTCTTCTTAATAAGGCTTAGGTAAAAAAATTTCTTAATAATATTAATCATTTTCTACTTTGCAGTGCATTTGATAACCAGTCCATTGCTTGATCAAGACCTTCACCTTTTGTTGCAGATGTTTTGAAGATTTGGAACGTTCTATTTTTAAGAGCATCTAATCCAAGAGCCTGATGAACTTCTGCTACACTTAAACATCCTGCCATATCTTGCTTATTTGCCAAAACCACTAAAATGGCACCTTGCAGTTCTTCTTCCTGAATACATACAAATATTATATATACATTTATATATTAATGATATAAGAACATAATTTTAAAATTAAATTTAATTTAAAAATTAAATTATATTCAGTATGTTAAGAACACTTTATATTGTTAATATCACTTTCATATCAAATTATTCATACATTGTTATTTAATAAAATCTAATTATAGACATAATATAGTACTTAAAATTATTGATAGTTTTCTATGATAGTTTTATTGATAGTTTTCTATTAGCAACATAAAGTACTTACTCTCAACATATAAATTAATTCATCTTTTGATATGCCTATCCTATCTTTATCTGCCGAATCCACAACATAAATTATTGCATCTGTATTTGAATAATAACACCTCCAATATGGTCTGTAAATTTAAAATATAATTATATATATATTTTATTATAATTTTTATATATAATTATATATATATTATTTTTAAAGATTATACTAAAATAGGATAATTAGTAGAGTAAAATAAAATAAAATAAAATAAAAGATATTTTTAATTTATATCATTATCTATCATTACATACCTTATACTAGTTTGACCTCCCAGATCCCATACTTGAAATTTTAAATTTTTATATGTGACCTGTTCTACATTAAATCCTATAGTAGGTATTGTTGTAACCACTTCACCAACCTGCAATCTAGTAGATATAATATTGAAAACAATTTCACATGCATATTATTTTACATCCAATAGCTTTAAATTGTTATGCCACATAAACATGTATTTAATTATTGGTTATAAACATTCAAACATAAGATATATGAACCATTCATGCAAACAAAGACGAATAAATAATTAATTATAACATCATATCAAGCTTTAAACATATTAAAACATATATATTAAAACATAAACTGTCAAGCGAAATATAGAAAAGTGTCAATATGAAATACACCTGTACAAGATTGTAGTTTTTCCGGCTCCATCCAAGCCTAAAATTAAAATTCGCATTTCCCGGCTACCGAGTAAATTACGAAAATAACTGAGTAATCCTCCTAGAAAGACAAAAGAATCGAAATTACATACAAATATATTTCGAAAAAACTAGATGAATCGTCCACCGATCAAATTTATATTCACTGGATAGATTCAGTGTGATTTCGGGAACATGTACCTTCATGAATTATCACACAACTCACCCATATCGATCACGTATTATTTCCAATTCATATAGTATAAATTAAAGTTTATTGTCAAATATAAGAATCACAATTGTATCTAAGTAACCGGGGCGCACACCCCTTTAACTGTCCACGGATGCAGTTCGCTTCAGATCACTTGCTGACTTGTATCGTTATCGTTAGTCGAATTCACATGAAGTTGTTTCTATTCTTTATGTATCTTCGATATATCAAGTAACACAAAGCCATATTCAAGATATTTTTATGATTTGATTATTAAATAATCTTTATCTAAATATTTCTTTATTTCTTTATTTTTTTCTAATATTGCACGAATATTTTGTACATATATATTTTACATATATTGTAAATATATATTTTGTACATATATATTATTATTAATAAATTTCAACATAATTTAATATAAAATATAACATAAAAATATTTTATGTTATATTTTAATAAATAAATATATAATGAAATTTATGAATATTTTTATTAAGACTCTTGAAAATGTTAACTGTTATTTTTAAAAAAAATTTTATAAATAGATATATATATATTTATCCATATTTACAATGAACTTTATAATTTTAGAAATTATGCTTTATAAAGACATACTTCTTCGTTGAATTTTCGAGATTATATAATACTTATCTCATTAGCTAATGACATATATTATACCTTTTCTTTTTAAAATATTAGCAATAAATCAGAAACAATAGTTATGTATATGTTGAATTCGTAGCTACATACACATATATATATATATATATATATATTCAAATTACTGTTAAGAATTATGTATTCAAAATAAAGTAATCAATTTTTAAATATTTCTTATTACAAATATTATTATAATCAAAGTTTAATTCTTGAGATATTTATATTCTATTTTATAGAATAAGATAGAATATATAATATATATTAATATATTGAATATAATTTTGTTGTTGAATATAATTTTTTTATATAATTATGAAAAATTATATTCTTTAATTAAAATTATATAAAATATATTTTAAGTTTTTTTTACAAAAAATGAGATTAAATTATATTATTAATATTATATGTATATTATAAGTTCATGAATATTTTAAATATTTTTTTATATTATTTGAAATAATGAAATGAATTGTAATAATTAATAAAAAGAATATAATTATTTAATATTAATTTATTTAATATTAATTATATTATTATAAGAATTTTAAATCATTATTTTTATGTTATGTCAAATAAACGTATATTTAAAATTTAATTTAAAATTTAAAACACGTTTTTCAAATAAACTGTCAATCATACTTATCACGAGACGTTGATTCTCGCAATAATCGATAGATGGCAGAAATATCGTCTTCCACGTTTATTCCTTGTACAAAAGGTTTCTGTATAGTCTGGACCGAAAATGGTTTTGCTGAGATGCTGTACAAACGCGGCGCTTGTGTTGTTCGTAATTGACAGCTGTCGAAAAGCGGCGACTTGATCGGATGCATGTGCGGATATGTCGTCTTGTTAAAAAAATAGAATATATCATACTAGTGAAGATTTAAAAGAAACAAGGTGAATTTGTTTTATTCCTGTAGCCCTTGGTTATTGTTAATTTCAACACATCATGCATTTATACCAATATCATTGCTGCATGGTACAGTTTAAAAAGTTCTTATGTGTTTACAGTTTTACAGAACATCGAAATGTACGTACAGTTATATGTGCTTTTGCGACGTGATATATATTTTGATAGAATAATAAAAACAAAAAATGTTCGTGTACAACGTGAACATTGAACAAAAGTGAAATTTTTGTTCATAATTTTATCTTATATAGTGTTCCTTGAGTGCCCATCATGTCCCGAATAAATACATATGTTCATCTTTACCAATACGCTAAATAAAATTCGGTAAGATTTTTAATACATATATTCTATATAAAAAGCGATTTTATAAATTATTATTTATATTAAAAAATATAAAAATAAAAATTGATATTATTTTAGCAATTAAATTTTATAAATTATATTTCATATGTTCGCTATAAATTCATAATTTCAATATTCAATAATATATTCAATAATATAAATTACATAATAAAATTATTTTAATATTTTATTAACTTTAATAATATTTTTAGAATTAAAATAAGATATTAAAAAAATATTCACAATCAAAATAATATTACGTATATAATAAAGTTTGTGCATTCTAACATCTAACTGCTTGAAACCGGTTTTTCCGAAAATTAAATTTTTCTCAAATACATGAAACATTCTCATGAAAGTTGAACTTGTTCAAGTGTTTGATATTATCTTTTCACTCAAAGTCAAATATTCATCGATTCTGATTTGTTCAAAAATCATAAGGTATCACATAAATCTTTGTGAAAGAATGATTTGGACCTCTGAAAGGATTTACAGCTAACCGGTTATCGCGTAGGTTGCACACTCGCGAGAACTCTCGTCTGATAGATCATGATCCTTCTTCTCAGACTTTCGCCTGTTCAGTGACGTATACGAAGGCACGGGTCCAAGATTTAACTTTCTCATCTGATACCTAATAGATAGTCAAAAACAAATCAAAACAAAAAATTGTTTTATCAAAATTGTACATATAAATATGTTTTTTTAGAAATCTGTGCATAATTCATTCATCTATTTATATTTGCATATATTTACAATTAATATATTGATTCATATAAATTATGCACAATTTCAAATCATGTTTTTTAAATTTTTATTAGAGTTATACAATTCTATTCTATTATACATAATTCTATCATAAAATAATTAATATTATATAAATACTTTAATATATAATTTATTAAATCATTGATTGTTGTATTGAATTGTATCTATAAATTTGCCAATTCTTATATATGTTTTCATGTTGATTTAATTGTAAAATTTCAATAATCTAATGCAAAAATCAAGAAAAAATTATTACAAATAATTATTAAAATGTTATTCTCGTAATATATGTTGAAGAAATGTATGGAAGATTTATATGTGTTACTGGATCGATTAGGTGGAGGATAGAATGAAGAAATGTATAAAACTCTCGTCCTTTATTTATTAATTATTAAGATTTCGCGATATCTTACAAACCGATTGTGTGTGTTGTGATTTGTTCGATCAACAATTAAACGATACAAATAACATATGATCAATCGAATCGATCAAAAAATTTATTGTGAAATCATGACATATATCATTGTGATATCAAGGAGAAACGCCAATGATCTTGCCAGATAAAATCCATTGGATCCCGTTTGATCATCAAAGTTAAGCTATGTCGGGCACAGTTAATACTTATATGCTAGAATGAGTGTCGCTTGGAAACACTGTATATTACTATTGGCGGTGGATTCGAAATCCACCTTAAATCATAAGTCCTTGACTAATAATTAGCAACAGTCGATACTAATTAAAAATAATATCAATATATAAAAAGAAACAGAGACGAATAGAAACAGCGTAGCAAAGAGAGATAGAGAGACAGAGAAGGGAGACAATGTGCAGCCACGTTTCTCCTGCGAAGAGGGTCGAATAAAAGGTGCTGTGGTAGGGGTGAAAAGGAACAGGTAGAGGGGATAGAGGGGAAAAAGAGCAAACATATGGTTGAAAGGAGAAGGCAAGAGCGAGATAGGTATACGCGATATAGGTTTTGGTTTGGGCAGCCGTTGGAATGCGGCGGCCGCGAAGCGGACGGCTGTATACCATGCCACGCCGTATGTAAGTACGTATACGCTTAATCTGCCATGCGGCATAGCCGGTGTATAGGACACAGCGCAGCGTCCAGCACATTCCGTGCCCCAAGCAGAATCATACTTTTGTTTACACCCACGTGTAGCTTCATGGAACACGAATTTTCTGTTGCTTCCTTAGCAATTCGCAAATATACTATCAAATTATTTTTATTGTCATCATGTGCAAATACAATAAATCTTTTCGTGTGAATGATGAATTATATTAATAACTGTGTAAATTAATTATAATTTTAATCCTATTTTCATATATAACAAATAGTGATTTTTGAAGTAAAAATTATCTCAGAGGAATTTCGTCATCGGTTTTCAAGTGCTTAATTCTTGATTTTTATCTGTAGTTGCTAGTTGATAATTATAGAAGTTAAATGATTATTAGCGTTGACAAATCATATTTTAAAAAGATAAAATATAATGCAGCATTATTTTTTGTATGTTAGTTTTAAAAAGTTTCAGAAGTTAGTTTTGTTTTAAGAATTATCAAATCATCAAAAAAAATTAATATATAATTAAATAGTTGTATTATATAACATTTCAAATTTTTATTAATTTTAAAAATTATTATATTCTATATGTTTAAATGATGAAATAGAAAAATTAAATTTGAATTGGAAAAATTGAAAATGAAGCACGGTAGAAGTAGAACAGAATCAAAAGACACTGAATTATAATGAATTATATCTACAAATAGAAGGAAATATAAATCAAATTATAAGAAATATAATTTTATTATCATTATGACAAAAATTTTCAAACCAATCGAAAAACGAAGATCAAAATAGTATAAATATTTCTGATAAAAAGAAAGAATTATAAGAAATATCGTTATTTCATTAAAATCACATGGATAAGAATTCCATGAAAAAGCCGTGTGCTTTCACTTCGCGTGGAAAAAGGGTAACAAGGAGATTGAAAGAAGGGAAGACGAGTTGTTCCTGATATGCACACTTAAGGAAGCATTTTGGGAGCCAACCAGAGTAATTGCATACAAGGGCCTATCAAAGCGAGCAACACGATCATGCTCTCGTCGAACCTCGTTGGTGCAAACTTCTAATAAGTCAATACCGCGCCATATCACCTGCGCTTAATATTTGCAATGTGAATTGATGATTTTTATTTTTTTTTTAATAATTTCATATTATAGAATATTTTTTCTTTTGAAAATTTGTAGATTATCAATTTTTAATAAAAATTTGAATTAAAATAACAATTAAAAGATTTCTTTTTGATATCATGATGTGTATCAATACATATATATATATACATATATTATTCGCATTTCAAATATCAAATATTTGAAAAATTTTATGTATATTAGAAATTTATTAATAACATAGTTATTTATTTTCATCATTATTAATTATTAACCGAATTTAACGACCGAAAATGAAAACTGCATCTTATATTCACATAATTGAATAAAAT